AGCAATAACTTCAAGTGTCTCCTCTTATTTAGAAGAAAGTATCATAGTATGATGGTACACTAAGCACCTACAAGTCTAGATTAATGACCAAAGGGCTTTTAAACAAAAATAAGTTGTTTACCATTTGACACATATGCGCTAGTAGAAAGCATAACAAAAATTGGAGCATCGTTTGCATTACCTTCTTTGTATAACTTTATAGTTCCAGAAATGGATGTCGAAATAACATTCCTAAATAGAGGTCTTGATGAGGAGATTTACATGGAGGAGCTAGAGGGTTGTGTGAAAATAAAAAAAAGGCGGGTGTAAGTTTGACAAATCCTTGTATGGATTAAAACAAGCACCAAAACAATGATATCAAAAGTTTAACTTTGTCATTGTATGATTCACCAATTAAGGGGAGACACACAATTTAGGGGAGACTTTTCAATCATTATCAAAACATGAATTCAAAGAGTTTGTCATCATCAAAAGGGAAAGATTGTGAGGAATACATCTTATATCTAGTTTAATTTTGATGAAGACAAATATTATCAAATAAGAAAATGTTCAAAAGTGTCATGCACATCAATGATGAAGTTGATCACGAAGATTTGGTATATAAGTTCAAGTGAATATTTGAGACAAGCGAATATAAATAAGGTGCTCATTGTAATTTATACTATACTACTTTAAATTGCTCATAATTTCATCTCTCACTTCATATAAAACCTTCTTACATCATCATGAATGATTATCTAAAAATCTTCTTCATCTGGTTCTTGTTACAAGTCTTTTTACACAAAGTTGTGTGAGAATATTGTGATATTCATTTGTCTCTATGTTGATTATATGATTGAGCATTAGCAACGAGGTGAATGAAGTTTTAGAAATAAAGAGTTTTCTAACTTTCACGTTCAAGATGAATGATCTTAGACTAGTTAACACACTTTTGGGGATCAAAGTAAAGCAAAATAATAGGGGTTATGAACTTAGTTAAACCCATTTTGTTAAGAAAGCACTTGATAAGTTCAAACACTTACGCTTTAAGGAAGTGACCGCTCCATTTGATCCTAGTGTTAAACTTCAAAAGAATGATGGAAGAGTTGTGTCTCAATTGAAATATGCAAGTGCATGCAATGTACTAGACCCGACATAACATTTGTAGTTAGTAAAATAAGTAGATTTTACTAGAAATTCAAATGGGGAGCACTAGAAGGCCATCATTAGGATTTTCAGCTATCTTATGAAAACAAAAAATCTTTGTCTCCATTATGGTAGATTTCCTGCCATATTATAAGGATACACCAATGCGAGTTGGATATCGAGTGTTGAATATAATAAATCTAAATTTGGGTGGATATTTACGCGAGCAAGAAATAAATGTGGATCACTCTCTCAATCATGAAATCATAGTTTGAGGCTCTTGCTTCCATTGGTGAAGAAGTTGAATGATTGAGAGATCTTCTGTTGTAAGTTCCATTGACTAAAGACATGTTTCAAAGGTGTTGATACGTCGTGGTATTCAAACCACTTTACCTAGAGCATACAAAAAGTGTATAACATAAAGTTTAGTCAAGTAAGACTTAGACATTCTTTCGTGAGAAAATTGATTAAGGATGTAATCATTTCATTCATATACCATCGATCTATAATTTGTTTGATCCATTTACAATGAAACGTTTGAAAAGTGTTGTTGTAGGCGAAACAGTGCAATATTTAACAAAAATGTTGTTGAAAGTGTGTGTTTCATCAAGGGTTGTAACTTTATGAAATAACATCCGTTTAACCTATAAATTGAGCATTCCAGATTCAGAAAAGTACATTAGAAAAGTCTATCTTTTTCACACAAAATTTCACATTTTATCTTTTCTACATTCGAGTTTTCGTTGATCTTATACAAACTCGAATATATACTAAATTATCCTGCATATTTATACATACAAACTCTAATACGATTTGAGAGTACTTGAAATATTAAAGAATAATTCATTCATAATTTTAGCCTCAATCCAATCAATTTAAATTAACTTTTTATCAATTTTATAGTAATCTAAATAATAGCAACCAAGATTTCGATTTGAGTATTCTAAATCTAAAAGTCAAAAATCCGAATCCAAAAGGTTTTAGTAGTGGGAAAGTACCTACACTAGTATCCTAGTTAAAATCCTAATTATAGTAGTGGGAAAAGTTTGCAGTTATATGTAGAAAAATTATACTTTGGTTCAATTTATAAAGACAAGTAGGTGTAGAGTAATCTAGTCCAACCTTTAATCGTTCTTTATTGCATTCACCTATTTTTAATACTATTATCATTTTAAAGTGTCCTCCATATATGGCCAATTTCTATCTAGCATGGTGGACAAGATTGAAAATGGATAAGACCATCTAGATTCCTTTAGTTTTCAACTCCTTTTCACTCTTTATTCAACAAATTAGAGTTATGGTTGGATGCTAATTAATAATGAAGAGCTGCTCAAACCTTACGTCAAATGATTTTTTTAATACAATTATATATATATATATATATATATATATATATATATATATATATATATATATATATATATATATATATATATATTCAAAACGCATTTTAAATTTTTTGAAAATGTATAAAAAGAATGTTTAATATGTTTATGTTTGATATATGTTATAAGAAAAAGTGAAAATATAACAATTTAATTTATAAGTATAATTATATCACATTTTCCGTACTGGAATTAGAAATGAGAAGTTGATCGGAGATGACAGCAAATCGCAATCTGCTACAAGGTAATCACTCTAACGCTCAAGTCAGTATCTGAAGAATAGTGAAAGGAAATTGTATTTAAAACTCGTTACATTGATTTGGCGTCTGCTCTATATTTATAAAGAGAGGGAAAATAACGAACTAGCTATTTGTTCGCCGCTCTTCGTGGATAACCATTGGATGTGCTTTACAGTTGAGATCTCTCAGGATCATAAGAGTGACTTTGTTCAGTGGTTATGAAGATTCCTGATCGAATGTGTGGGATCTTTATTAGACTGTAGGCCAAGTTGATATGACATTGAACGCATGCACACACGCACACACGCGCGTGCGCGCGCACACACACACATATACGGGAAGTTACCTTGACGATGGAAGCTGATAAGAAGCATTTAAAACATCTCATTGATATCCTGCTAGTAAAAGCTCGTTCTCAGGAAGAGAGAAGAATCATTTTTGATAAACCTTGAGCATTTTGAGTTTTATTGTATTAATACCTTGAATGCCTATGATGTATACTCTTTTCTTATTTGTGTGTAGAGTGCATGGGTAATGAGGAACATTTCCATCATCTAACGCAGGGAGTATGGCGACCATAAATAATGTTGTTGTAGAAAATCTGCCGAATTTATCAAATGCCCCAAGTTAGACTGCTCTCCCCTTACTTATGAGAAATGGGTCCTGCTTTCCTGGAAGTCATTAACTCCCTCATCTGGACAAGGAATTTTCTTACTTAGGTGGCCTCTTCGGGCCCATTTTGGAGAAAGAAATGCGTAAGCTGGTCAAGTATGCTTAGCGCACCTGGATTGCTCTGGCCCTTGGTGCATCCGACCACTAGAATGCTTTTCGGTGACTGGTATCGTGCTAAAAAGTAGTAGATTGAGGATATCATCCGTGATTTAAGTCCTTAGTAGGATATGTATCTGCATGAAACGAATGACACTTCCTCTTCTCTCGTTGGAGTGAAGAATGTTTTGCTTCCTTTAAAGTTCGTTGGTCCTCTTTCCGACCAAGTAGTTCAGTTGGTGAGGAATGTGAAGATGAAAGATCAAGTTAAGTTTGTTCTTCAAAGAATTGAGAGGGCTTCTCACAAGGAGTCAGAGCTTTTGCGTTCTTAGAATGCTTCGTTGATCCAACAACTAGTTGACTATATGAGTTCGACCCTTGAGGCGGTCTCAAAATCATTTGTAAATGCTTTGAATCAGTAGAGTATTTTCACCATACTTTGACATTTTGCGTAGATGTTGTATTGCCGTTTGCCATTACTGACTGACTGAATCTCAATCGAGCTCGCTGTACCAATTTGTTGAAACAATTAGGTTTTTCAAAAAGAAGAAGAAGAAGAGAGAGAAAGAATAAGAGAGAAACTATATTGTGAAATAAGAAATTTTATTATGAAGTTGTTTTGTATCTAATTTACAACGTCACATACATATATAAACAACCAAACACATTATTTGCTAACTACACTATTCGACCCTATCAAATACTTCGACAACTACATGTTATACTCAATTCTGTCGAATATAACTATTTCAACTCTTCTATCTTTAATTAAGTTGTCTAGTGCTACTTTGACGTCGTCAAACACAACTATGTCAAATAAAGTTTTTCTATTAAAACCATTATAGTTACTAACTTCTACCAATTTGTAGGATTGGACTACTAATTCCGTGTCTTGTATTCTAAAAGATAGCTAATAATTTTGTATTGGGTTTAAGTAACCTTTATATTCTTTAAATATAATCTTTTGTTTATAAAAAAAAAATTCAGTTAAATTGGGTGAATATATATTATAAAGTAATTTTAATTGAGTGTCATGCTTGAATTGATACACGGATACAAATTCTCTAACTTTAAATCCTCTCATTTTTTGTGACTTTAAATATTTTTGATAGAGAGAAATCAGATGTGAAAAATTAAGAAATAAAGGAATATAAAAGAAAGTTATAGAGTGCAATAATAGGATAGGGGATGTTAAAATCTTTAACAAGGAATTATTATTGATTGGAAAAGAAAATTAAACAAGATCAAATTTATAACTTAATAAGTAATTTTGAGTCTTAAAAAAAACTCCTATTTTTGTGAATCTAAATATAACTAGTTTTACTAAAAATAAAATAATAACTAAAAAAAATCACTTTAAAATTCGTCTGAGTTCTTCATATGTATGATCATTCCTGCATTTTATATATACATATATGTATTTAAGTATTTCGGTACAAATGTACATGTCTAAGTATCATGAAATACTAATTAAAAAATATTGCTATTGAGAAGCTGCTTCTACGTGACTTTCTTCAATTTCCATTGGGCTAAAACTCACTTTTTTCTGCAGAATATTTAACAAAATCACATTAATTTACTAACACAATTTCTTGGAACAATGATGTAGTAGCAAATAGGAAAAGATGTAAATTAACTTTCAAAAATCTGCAAATATTAAGTGCAAAATATTAAGATGTTTTTTATATTTAATCAAATTAATTATATATAATTTATCACATCTCTATTTATTTTATATCATACATAGTAAAACAATATGATCATAAATATGCACCAAACATATACTAAATATATGATAAGATAAAACTGTCATAATCATATCGTATCATATCATTATCCTATCCTATTTACCAAACAAGCTCTAACAAATTTAAAATGTTATTTCCTCTTGGTTTCTATTTTCATTTCCTAAATTGGGTCTTTTATATATATTTTTTTTCAATTAATTGGGTCTTTTAATATGCCAAAGTCTTCGTTAAAATAAATTTTATATAGCCACAAGAAGTAACAATAATTGAGTGCACATGCAATTGATAAAAAATAATCGAATGCACATGTAATAACCCCAAAAAAGTTGCAAGTTTTTCTCAAGTGTTTTGTTAGCATGTGAAACCTTCGAAATTCTTTTTGACATTATTTGAAGCAAAAGAATCCAAAATAATAATATCAAAATATAAACATAAGTAAATACATACCCCACGTGGCTTACGATTTTGACTCAAAACGACACCGTCATGCTCCACCGCGTCATCACCACCACCACCACCACCACCGCCACCACTCTTTTCCATATACAAACTCATAATCTTCTCCGCCACCTCAGCCTTATCATTACTCTCTTCCATCAACTTCTCCAACTGGGCTTTAGGAAGCCTCATCTTCAACCTCACGGGCCCATCTAAGCCCAAACCCGGTTTCACCGACGAAATATCCGAAACGGAGCGTTTTGATAGCATTAACAACTCGAGTCTATCCTTAGCATTCATGTTCCGTATTCCACTGGATCGCGCTCTTCGCGGTAGTGACGGTTTATCTTCCTCGGGCTTAATTTTAGGTAAATCTACGAGGAAGTAGATTTTCCTGGGCTTTAGTTCTTGGTTGGGCTCTAATGGTTTGGCCCGAAGCCCGAAGTGTTTTACCGCTTGAGAATCGAGGAGGACGTGGTTGGGATAGTCTTTGACGACGTCGTTTGACGTGGTTGGAGTTTTCACTTTGAAGGTTTCTCCATCTATCTTCATAATCTTTGCTTTTTTGCTTTTTCCTATGGTGTTTCCCATGATGGGTTGTTCTATAGATTCCAATGTCTTACGTGGTTGTTGTAATTGTTGTTGTTGTGTCTCTTTGAGGTTTTGAATTGTATTTATTTATAGGAGAGATAGTAAATGAATTATATTTGTGGGAATGTGCATGTGTGAATTGCTTGAATTTTGATGAGGGTTACTTGTATAATTGTATTTATCAAATAAATAGGTGTGGGGTAAAGCTAGGCCAACCTTTAATTATTCTTTATTGCATTGGCCCATTTTGAAAAAAAGAAAAACAAGTGGATATCATAGGTTAGGTTTATATTCTTTTCATATTTGTGGGTTTTTTTTTTAAACATAAAACCAATGGATGGATATATATCATTACAAAGATGATTTTTTAGACGGAATCATTGCAAAAAAGTTGGATGTTTTGTTTTTATATATATATATATATATATATATATATATATATATATATATATATATATATATATATATATATATATATATATATATATATATATATATATATATATATATATATATATATATATATATGAAATGATTTTGAACAATTATATTGATATTATATCGTTTGACTTTAGAATTTATTTGGCGGTTAGGAGCATAGTTGAAAATAATCTTTCTCGATGCTTTGTATGTTAGTTTTGTTGGAGAAGCTTTAAAATTCCATTCTTATATGATTTTACTTGTTATTATTACGCATAATAATAAATAATACAAGCACACCCAATAATGAGATAACAGATTTGAATCCTCTTCTTTTTTTATATATTATGACATCTCTCATGTTTTTAATCTAACGATTCAGAATTTATAATGAATAATTAAATTAAAAAACAAAGACAAATTACTTATTAATTTCTCTCTTCTATTAAATGACTTTTTTTATTTAATTATTCATTATAAATTCTGAACCGTTAGATTACAAACATAAGAGATGACATGATATATAAAAAAGAAGAGGATCCAAATCCCTTAAATTAGTTTTCACAAAGAAAATAATTTTTAATTAAAGTGAACAAATAAAATGGTAAAACATGAGAATATGTTTGATATTTAAGTAAATTTTTTATTTTGGTCAGATAATTTAATGGCTAAAATTTGGATTTGAATTTTTTTTTATATATATATCATGTTATCTCTCATGTTTCTAATCTAACGGTTCATAATTTATAATAAATAATTAAATAACAAAGACAAATTACTTATCTATTTCTCTCTCCTATTAAATAATTTTTTTTATTTAATTATTCATTATAAATTCTAAAAAGTTAGATTAGGACATAAGAGATGACATGAATTATAAAAAATGAGAAGATCCAAATCTCTAAAATTTATATTTAAAGATAAATAAATGAAATATTAATGATTGGAATTTGTATCTTTAATGTCCTTGCAGTGAGCTTGATACTTAGATTCTGTAGCGAATCTCTAAACTATATAAATTTTAATAATTTTGAAATGAAATATAATTAATATTGTTATATCTGTAGTATATACTATGTCTATTATGAATGAAATATTAGTGCTATAGTTATTTCACTTTTAAGAGTGCTCTGCGTGTAGGGTCAGTTTCTATCTAGCATGGTGGACAAGTTTGAAAATGGATAAGGCCATTGAGATTCTCTTTAATTTTCAACTCATTTTCACTCTTTATTCAACGTTGGAGTTATGGTGGGATGTAAGGTCACAAAGTAGCTGCTCACACCTTACGTCAGATGATTTTATCTAAATTTCTGTTCACTTTTTAGTTTTTTTAATAAAGTGTTAAATATAAAAATATAAATTATACTATATTATTGTGTTTTATCACTTCAATGATGCTTTACCTCATTTAAATTATCAATAGTATACGGGTGTAGAAAGAAAAATAAACAAAGAAAAAAAAGCAGGTCGAAGCATTTGGTAAGGTGAAACGAAGATGTACAAAGTATATGTAAGAGTATTATTTTAATATTCAAGTCAATGATGTTAGAATGATATAACTTTTCAAGAGCCAATGAATGAATACTTATTTATGATGTGAGGTAAAATTTATATACAACAATTAATTAAAATAACTTATGTTTGACCCGACGTAAAGTATAGAAGACTATCTAATTAGATATGATGGATGATGATCATCAAGAAGGTTGAATTTGGTGGGCAATCTTATGAGGAGGGTTCACTTGTTCTTATTTTGTCCAGATGATTTTTTTATTGGACCGCTTGAATTTGGTCGGCCTTATTAAGTCGTTAGATTAACTTGAAACAATTGTTCATAAGTCCTTGCTTTCATTCATGAAGTTAGGATTATGAAGCATATTGAGGTCGGCTGTTTTGATCATCCTCTTGGGTCGTCTGACGGCTACCGAACAAATATTCACTTTATGGTTGGAGATATGGAGAGTGAGTGGTCAGCCCTAGGAACATTCTCATTAAATTCCTGTCTCCTAGCTGAAATGTTTAATAGTTAAAGCTCTCCACGTGGCCATAGAATTCAAGCATACTCCCTCCATTCTCTTTTATAAGCAACTTTTACGTTTTAGATTCATTAAATAGTTGATGTATTTAGTTTATGTATAGTTCAAATACATCATTTATTCAATAAACCTTTAAAGTAAAATTGACTTATAAATGAGAATGAAGGGAGCATGTGATATTTTTAGAGTACTCGGGTATCATGGGGGGATTGGGGTCAAATTGGAATCGTTGGTGGTGTACTACTTCTTCCTCGATCTTCGGTCGTCGATTGTGAGATCTCTCAATGTCAATATATAATGTCCAAAATGGGATAATATGATCTATTGTGTTTGATCTCGCGCTTTATTGATTATTTCCTTCGGTTTTTATTTATCTACTCTAACAAGTTCCATTATCCATTCTGCAATTCAATGTAATTATTTTCCTTATATTATCTTAGTGGGTTCAACTTTCTATCACTTTGCCTTATTATTTGTTGTTAATAATGGTGTTTAAGATGTTAGGAAAGTTGTTGATGAAGCAAGAAAACTAAGACTTAAAACAAACTCAGATTCTTTCGTACCTATTATTAAAGATAGTAGCTTTGTTGGATTGGAAAGAAAAAAGAGTTTTATGTTCTTGGTGGTTAAATGCACCTCTTAACTTTCATAAAAGATTTTATAGCACAATTGTTAGATTCATTCTTATTTATTCATAAGGTCTTGCGTTCAATTCTTACTTACCATGAAATTGTATTTTCTTGAGTTATCATTAATTCTTTAAATTTACTAAAAATTGATATATAATTAAAAAATATATTCTGAAAAAAAACTAAATCTTTAAAATTTATAGTAATTTAATTTAGGTTTTTAATTTAATTTATCTTTTCTATAAATATAATCATTTATATTACCATTAAAATAAAAATTAATTATCAATCATCAAGTAAAAAATAATAAAACATGACATGGCGTCGTCAGGATTTGGCTAACGTCTTCTATATACCTGATTTGAAGCGGAACTTAATTCCTTTTGGCATTCTCGAGTCTCATGGGTGCAAGTACTCCCTTGGAAGCACCGAAACTACATTACATATGACGTCAAAGTCATCCTCCGACCCTGAATCAAAATTATCGGCCACCAACTTGTCGTCTTTGAGTAGTGCCTCCTCATTTACCTTCCCTTTCGACTTGACCAACGTGGGGGAAACAAGTGCTTTTCAACTGGTTTCTTAACTTGATCACTAACTTGGTTTTGATATGGTTTATTATTACACGAATCAACAACCTTCTTCCCTGCTTTCTTTTTCATTTGGAACCTCCTCCATTGGGTCCTCAACATTAGATTTTTTCCCTTGTAGTTGTTAGGCCCATAGGAACATTTCTTCGACACATTAAACTTTTCTCGATAAGTTAGTGAGGAACCTCTACCCATTTTATAATTCTTCCATTTGTGGTGGCCCGACCCTTCCTTGCTTCTAGGCCGCACCCACTTCCCCTAGGGAGCGTTGGATGTTAGAACATAGGTTCCAAGTTTGTTCCTCGGATGAGTCAGAAACTACTATCTCTTCTGAGGTACTCCCATTTTGTCAAAGTAGAACTAAGGCTTTTTATTCTTCCATTTTTCCTTTCCCTGCGCCTTTCAAGGATTCTCTACCTCCTTAGCTGCCTTTTTATTGAAAACTACACTACAACTTGGATAAAGCATCACCTCTAATTCCTTAGCCTTGGAGAGGTGAAGAGAATCGACCAGACCTTCCTCAATTTTGATGTAAATAGATTTCATCTAATTTTCGCTGCTTTCGACAGCCTTTTCTTCAGCTTCCATGTCGAAATATTCAATAATTTCGACCATGTTAATCTCCAATGGTTCAACATAGCGGGTTTCTTCGACCTACATCGAATCAGAGTTAATCTTCATAGATGCCTTATTCTTGGAAAACTTCAACCTTCCATCATTCAAATCACTTTGGACAAGATCCCTAAAAAGAAAAGATTGTGAAGTTTTATGCCCCAAAAATTTGTGATATTTGCAAAAAAACCTATTTTCTTTATTTGTTTTAATAGTGACACTTTTGCACCTAGTGGGACTAAAATTTGGCTATATGTAACTAATAAATTGAAGATCTCATTATATTTGGCCACATTGAAAGTATAGATTTTCTTAGGGAAAATCACTTTTTTCAGGCTCAACAAGGTTCTTTCCATTTGCTGGTGAAAGAAGTTTACCCATATATAGAGGACCTGGCTTCAACTAGTCCAAAAAATTGACCTTGTTTCCTTCAACATGGTATATTCGACATCATACCCTTGGTCATTGTCATCCATGTTGACATATGCCATGCGTTCCTTCTTATTTCTGTTCACTCTAGCTTTCTCATCCTTTAAATATTCGACTTGTCGAACCCTATCCGCCAGTTGGGCCATATCCCTTAGATATTGCGTATCCAATTTCTTTATAGTAGAATAATCTAAGCCCCCAGCCGCCATCTCGACTAGTTCGTGCTTAGGCACTTAGGTAAAGTATCTTGTTTTCAAAAGTTGGAACCTATTTGGATAATCCTC